GGGTGAAGACCATCTTCTCTTCCTGGTGAGTGTCCAGTAGTGCCCCTCCATTTAGTCTTCTAGACTTTGGGTGGGCTGTGTGGAACAGCTAGAGGAACAGGGAGGTGAGCGTTAAAAGAACAGCAGAGAAAGGTGCTAGAACTGTTGGATTAAGTCCACTCTGAAACCCATTCTTTCTCTGGACTTGAGTTGTGTGGCCCAATACTTTTACTTGACTATTTGATTGGGGCTTTGTCAGTTGTAGTTGGAGTCATCCTGATGGATACAGCTTTCTATAAAAGGTACACGCCTTGGGGACTCTTGACAACCCTATCAGAACCTGTCTCTAGGACCTACTTACCCTGTGTTGCCTATCCTCCTTTGAAAAATATTTGCATTGGATTTGATTTTTAGTCGTTAGCCACTGTGGGTGAGCTCACCTTGGCTTCTGCTTTACATTGCTTCTTACTGCCTCAACCAATGGTCAGAACCATGGACATCCTGCTTGCATGGAATCCCAGGTTTCCCAGGCTTCCCATGCATCCCAGCCTTCCAGGGCCATTCCCAGCATGGCAGCTCTGCCAAACCAGTGTCCTCCAGGTGCAGACCTGCGTCCTCCCCTTAGCTGAGACCAATTTTCATAGACCAAAACAGCACAAGTATGGAGGCTTGGGAGTTATGCAGTGCTTTCAGCTTACTGTTTCTAAGATGATGCCCTCAAACGACCAGTATCCGAATCACCAGTCTCATGGTCATAGATGCTTGTTGGAAATGCATGTCCTCAGACTTGCTGAGTAGTATTCCTGGGTTCAAGCCCTGAAAGCTCTTGTTTTCACAGCCTAGCCCATGGTTAGCTCACATTCTGGATTACTCCAAAGACAGTTTGGCTTCCAGTGTCAGCCTCTGATGAAAGAGAGGCCAAAGTGGTGAGAGAGGGGATCTGGGAAGGAGACAGAATTATGAGGTGAAGAGAGAATCAGGACGTGTGATGGGAAGACGCTGGATGGTTCCAGATGCACATAGTGGAACTGCGCCTCAAGGCACGTGCAAATTATGACAGCCGCTTGCCTTCCAGCTCCACTACTTTTACCTTTGTGCATGTTCTACTAGCTTTTCTGGTAAGATTTGCACCCAGACATGCCGCGCAGCATGATGTATCCCTCCACAAATCATAGAATGATAGAGTCGATGACAAGTAGGTGGAGAATAGTATGTCCAAGATCAAAAGGTCAGAGCAAAGTTTTATAAAATGTCAATCTACATGTCACACAGTTTGGCCTGAGTTAGCACTCTCACAAATGTGATATAATATTTTCCCAATCCCACACCACACCTCAATTCCGTGCCAGTTCATAGTGCTCAGTACACGCTTTGTGTGGCTTTGTAAGTGCTTTCCGCATGAAAAAGAGAAAGCCACCCACCACATTCCCTTTTCTTATGAAATACATTTTACACAGTGACAGACACAACACAATGGAAAATAGCGCCTATGACTTCTAACTGCTAACTTCACTCAGAAATGGATTTACGAAGAGTTTAGACACAGCTACAAAAAAAAGTGTTCAGTACCATTTTTTTTTTTCTTTTTCAGCAGATGATTCATGGAAGGAAATTGAAAGTTTATTCTAGAATCTATTTATTTGGGAGCCTGTACAAAACACTTTTGACAGTTTATTCTCTCTGATGCTCCTATTTATAATTAATCCTCTTTTCTAACAACAAACCTACCTCTTCTTTCCTGCCCCCACTATTTCAGTTCTCATTGGATATTTTGACACCAAAGTTTTTTTTCACTTTCTTGCTAACTAGGGACAAATTAGTACAAGGTCTGGGATACTTGGCCACCATTCCGGATCCTTATGCAATGGACTAAAAAATTCATGTAATGGACTCTAATGATTGGATTTATTCCTTGGATTCTAATTTTGAAAATATACCAGGGACACCACCAAGAATCAACTTTTAATGGATAGGGCTTTCATGTTAGAATTCAAAGGTCACGTGTAACGTCTGGGTCTCTGGTCACCATTGCCACTTCCATCTCTACTCTCCAGCTTAGTAGCTCCCAAAGTGGCTGTGTATCAGAATCACTCAAAGAGTTTGTTAAAAATAGATTTTCTGACTTGACTCCAACATAAAAAATCTTTTTTTTTTTTTTTTTGTGTGCAAGCTAAGTGAATCTTATGCAGTCACCAAGGACCCATTTACTGAAGACATTTGGGAAGCACTTCTCTGGTCTAGTGGTTCTTGAACTTGTATGTACATCAGAAACATCTAAAGGCCTTATTAAAATACAGACTGAACCCTCAGAGTTTTCAATAGGTATGGGATGGAGTCTGAGAATGTGCATTTCTAACAAGTTTCCAGATGATGTTGATGCAGATCTGGGACCACTTTGAGAACCACAGCTCTAACCTAGGTTACTTGTATACATGTTTATTATTCATTAGCTCTTATATTATGTAGCCAAGCAAGGACTGGACTTCAGAGGAAGGAATTACCCTCTCAGATCAAGGGTAACGCTTGGCTGGGCATCATAATCACCAGGAGCTTTTATTTTCTTTTAATTTAGCATTCAATTATTGGGATTAGGCTTATGCTTCACCCTAGACCTATTGAATCAACATCTCCAGGACCACCTGGGAATTTGTACTGTTTTGAAGTAACCCAGAAGTTTCTGATCACGAGGACTTGAAAACATTGCCTTAGATGGGCCAGATTTGTGAGTTTATGAATAACTTCTACTACAAAATCATTTATCTGAAATTCAATTTGAATGGGGTATCGCATATTTTTATTTGTACTTCTGGCACCCCTAGTGACTGAGCTGTATATTTGTGAAGAGTTTGTTGGCTCTGTGTGCTCCCTCTTTTGCTTAACACAGCCCTATTTTAAATGCTTAAGGGGGTGGTGGTGAGGGGTAAATTCCATGCAAACATGATATTCAGGGTGAAGAAAATATTAAAATGTTTCTTCAGGAAAGAAAGACACACACACACTTCATTAATCTAGACAGCAGAAACAAAATCAGGAAAAAAAAAATACTGTCTGCTAATGGTTTTTTGCTAGACGATTCGTCAATTATACAGTCAAAAGAAACCCTGGGGAATAAAAAGACACCAAAGATGCTATTAAAATGTTCCAAGTGAAGCCATATATAATTAATTTCAAACAAGCATAAGCTATGAAAACTCAAATACTTCAAGGTGCTGAGTGAAAGGAGGGGTAAATCTGCATCAGGCTTCAAAACTGATGCTTCCAGGTGAGTCTAAGATTAAGCCAGAGACAGGGAGATAATGTCTGCTTCCTCCCTATCTTTTTGGAAGCTCAAGAGCCTTAAGAGGAGATGCTCCCAGTGCGCCAAAGACGAGAAGAAAGAAATATACAGGCCAGCACCTGACATCAGCACATAACAACTAAACACGGAATCAAATGAGTGCAACAAATTCAAAACAGAAGAAAAATTCACTGATGCAGAAGACAAAGAACGTAAAGGATGTAATTTCACAAACCACTGCACAGGCTGAGTAAGCACGTGATAAGAACCATGGTCCCTGCGAGACAAGCAGGTTTCTCCTGACGTTTTACCAATCCACAGCTGAGGCATCAGCAAACTTTTACTGTAAAGTACGAAAGAATGAACCTTTTAGACTCTGAAGACCAATACTCTCTGTTGCATCTACTCCTCCTTGCTGTTGTAGCATGAAAGCAGCCATAGACAATAGATAAATGAAGGCATGTCTGTGTTCCAATAAAACTTTATTCACAAAAATAGGTGGTTGCTGTGGAACTGAATGTTTGTGTCCCTTCAAAATTTACATGTTGCATGCTTCAATTCCCAATTTGGTGGTATTTGAGTGTGAGGCCTCTGGGAATTAATTAAGTCATGAAAGTGGAGCCCTTGTGAATGAGATTAGCACCCAATAAGGGAAGGAAGACACCAGTCTCTCTCTGTATTCTGCCCTATATGAATATAAGTAGATAGTGGTCTGCAAACCAGGAAGAAGGCCCTCCCCAGACACCCGATGTGCCAGCACCTTGATCTGGGACTTCTCAGCCCCCAGAACTGTAAGGATTAAATGTTTTTAAGTCACACAACCAATAGTGTATTTGTTACAGAGATCCAGCAGACTAAAAGTGGTAGGACGTATTTGGTTGATGAAGCATAGTTTGCTGACCCCATACAGGTGAACCCATGTGGCAAGGACAGCGTCATCAATGGACTCTACGGAGCACTCAGTGTTCCAATGGTGGATGCTTGGTTAAAAACAACATACTCGGGGCGCTTGGGTGGCGCCCACCCAAGTTGGTTAAGCGTCCGACTTCAGCTCAGGTCGTGGGTTTCGAGCCCCGCATCAGGCTCTGTGCTGACAGCTAGCTCAGAGCCTGGAGCCTATTTCAGTTTCTGTATCTCCTCCTCTCTCTGAACCTCCCCTGCTCACAGACACACTCTCTCTCTCTCGCAGAAATAAATAAAACATTAAAAAACAAAACAAAATACTCCATTAACTCATCACCATACATACAAGAGCAGAGTGTTTAAAGGTCACCCCAACTGTAAAGGCATGAAACCAGATTCTGGAAACAAAAAGTTGCTGAGACTATTATAAAAGGGAAAGAGGAGACAAAGAGACTGAACATTTTCGCCTGTTTTTAGAAACGTACTCTTGGTGGCCCTGGCATTCAGAGAAAAGCTGACTCTATGGTGGAGGGGCCCTCTGACCAGTTTCTTTGAAATGAAGCTGCTACCACTGAGGGTGCATCAGGTGATAAGGTGTCATCCTCTTCTGTCAGGAAGGTTTCCTGACCTGCTCAATTTGCTAATTAGCATTTAGCATCCTATGAAGTATCCTTCCTGAAAAAGAAAACGCTAAGTCACTGTGGCAAAGAATTTTATAATATAAGCTGGAATATGTCCCCCATGGTGTATGGAAACATAAATTCAGTGACCTCTTTTATGACTGGTAATGTTTTATCCGAGGTCACCAGGTCAGTCAAGAACCACACAAGCATGCATTCTACACTGTATAACTTAAAAGCTTTATTTCCCCCACAATAGTAAATGGATTTCATATTAGTTCAAATGGAAGTTTCCTTCCTTTAGTTAGTTGCCTTTCTCACGGACTATGTCGTTGGTGGGAAAATTGCTTTCTCATGGGAGAAGGGTTAGATTTCATAGGGACCTTCTGACATAATCACAGAAATGAGAGAGTCTGACACACCAGCCCTGAAGGAGTCTTGAGCTCAAGGAGTCCATTCAGTTACAAGCCTGGGCAGGAGCACCAAAACAGGCTGCTGCAACCTACTCGTTGCAGATACCGGCGGGATCCTCCCTGCAGAAGAGACAAAATGCAGCCCCTCTGACCAGGAAGCCTGGAAGCCAGACAACGCCCTCAGTCCCTGCCACATGCCCTTCCCCCATCCTGTGGCCTGGTGCAGGAGTGTTTTAGCTCCGCGAACAGTGGGCTTCCGCTCTGGGGCCCGAAGTGCACTCTTCACCAAGTGCAAGACTGGTCCTCACTCAACGTTCCGTGTTCACACAGTTTTTGGCTCGTGCTTCAGAGAGCAGTTTCTGCCTCTCCTGGGAACAGTGGCCTCATATCAGCAGAGGCCTGAAGACCCAAACCAGCACTGGCAGGTAGAGCACGGGGGCACTGCTGCCAGATGTTCTCTGAGCGCGCATCACGGCGAAGACTGCATTGGTGTGGTTGGTGGGTAACTCTACATTACAGATCATTCCTTCACAGCAAGACCGACACTCCTGTTACAAAAGCAAGGGGAGAGGGGAAAGAGACTAAGTAATAAGAAGGAGAGGGAAGGGCAAAACAAAGAACAAAAGAATGCTTCCATGGCGCTGAGGACAGACAGAATTAGAGCTCCCCAACTCATCCAGTCTAGGAGACACTCAGGCCCTTGAGCACCACCTTTCTCCCACTAACCTGAAAGTAAGGACCATCTTGAGAGTCTTTTCATTTTAACAGTGATTTATCCGTAGCAAGCCAAGCATAAGCAAGGGAAAGAAGAGGAAGGGAAACTGAATAAATCTGCTTGATTGAGTCAACAAATCTAAGGTTTGTAAAGAAAAACACTGACATGAAAATGAAAGCTAGGAGCCTTTTGAATTGGTCATTGATTTTCTTTCTCAGTACTACTGGTTAAGGGATAATAATGACTTTCTATTGTCTATACTAACACCTGATTTCTATCGTTACAGCAGCAATGGCTTACTAATTATGGCTGCCGAGTAGTGAAAAAGGCTTGCTCCCTCACAGCACAATGTGTCTTCAGGGGAAGCAATCATCTGCCATAATACCTGGTACAAGGCTTCAACCTGACAAACTTAGCTGTTCATGAGGGCTTCCGGGATGGCTAGCTAAGAAAACGGCAGCAACTCTACATGTCTTTATCAGCAACTTTCAACCCTGGCAGCAACACATCAGAATCTCCTTGTGGAAACTTTCAAAAAGAAAAGAGGGGCGCCTGGGTGGCTCAGGTCATGATCTCACAGTTCGTGAGTTGGAGCCCTGGTAGAGCTCTGTGCTGACAGCTTAGAGCCTGGAGCCTGCTTTGGATTCTGTGTCTCCCTCTCTCACTTCCCTCTCCCTGACTTGCACTCTATGTCTCTCTCTCTCTCTCTCTCTCTCAAAAATAAAGAAAAATTAAAAAAAAAAAAAAGAAAAAAAAAGAGCCTGATGCCCAAGACCCCACGCTGAAGTTCGGCTTCAGCTGATCGAGGATGTTCCTTGATCACCAGTATAGCTACGAAAACTCCCCAGGTGACTCCAATGTTGCCAGAGCTAAAAGCTACCGGTGTCTGAAGCACTTTCTGTACACAGTAACTAAATCAAATTCTAAAATCTCATGAAATTAACATACTCTCAAGTAATTTTATTCCCAAACCTTTCAGAATTCCAGGCATATAAAAGGGTGAAATTGCTCATTTAAATGATGGAAAATTAGGGAGATCAACTGATCTAAAATATATCTATACTTCATCATATTAAACTGAGATTAATTCTTTCAGACTCTCACTTCCTGGTCTAAGCAGAGGTTGTGGGTAAGACCAGGTTTCCCTAGTAAAAGGCGTCCCCATTTACCTCTTTCCACCACCCAGCTACCCTGTGCTTTGTTCTCGGTGATATCTGGCCATAAACAAAATACATGAGCTGGGCTCTGTAGTGTTCATCATTCTCTCATGGATGGTTTGCTCTTGGGCTTCCAGAACAGACTTCAAACAAATCAAGTTCGAGGCCTAGGATGGAGCTCTGTGGTCTGGGAATTATCATTTGTTTTTAGTGACAGTTTTTACTGAAGGACAGAAAGTCTTCAATTTCTCTTTGGTCTCCACTACATCACTGTAAGGGAGTCTTTCCTTCAAGAGTTCACGCATACAACAGATTACTTTTATCCTTCCTGCCTTTCCATTATGTATAACTAAGGATGTATAACTAACGAAAAAAACCTTAGGACAGTAACTTTACACACACATACACACACACACACACACACACACACTCCTTACTGTATGTTCAGAATCTCGACTGTGGTGGCAGCCAACAAAATGACATTCACTTCTGGAGGCACATTTTTTGGTAATAGATGTACTTCTTCCATGGCTGGTGAAGTGGTGAACCGTCAGACAGTACTGTGTATCTAGGCAAGGGGAGAAAAGGCAATGTCATGTTTCACACTGCAAACGAGGAGCTCATCACTTCAGGAGAGACTAAAGCTCAGGACGATCCTTAGGTTTCTAGGCACGAAGTTTAATGTCAGGAGTGGACGTCTCTCCTTTGGTGCTAGCTAAAGCTGAGAAAAAAATACTGAACGAGCCTTTCATCAGCATCTTAGGTCTGTTCGTTTCATACGGAAGTGCCGGCGTCTCTGTCTCTCTCCCTATGAACCACATGTTCCAAACTCCAAAACAAAATGAGAGTTATAAATGTCTTGTATACTAACAGGCATGTGGTGGAACAGAATGAAAACAGGTGCTTCAAAGTATACACCAAGACCACGGTCCTGACTCATCTGCTGCTTACTCATGCTCTACTCTTCCCTGCGTGTTGGACTTTTCCTGAGTATTCCGTTTTCCTACTCTTTCTTTTTTTTTTTTTTTATATTTTTATTTATTTCTAGGAGAGAGAGAGAGAGAGAGACAGCGTGAGCAGGGGAGGGTCAGAGAGAGAGGGAGTCACAGACTGAAACAGGCTCCAGGCTCTGAGCTGGCAGTCAGCACAGAGCCCGACGCGGGGCTCGAACCCACAAACCGCGAGATCATGACCTAAGAGAAAGTCGGACGCACAACCGACTAAGCCACCCAGGCGCCCCTCTTTCTTAATTCCTCCTCTCTGTCCCCTCCCTGCCGCATAGCTGGCTCATTTCTATGTTTCCCCGTATAGCTTTAAGTACTCACACTTTACTACTATTAAAGAAAGCGATTTCATTCAATATGCTAGGACCTGCCGCTTTAGTTTTGCATCTCTCTCCAGTTATTTCAGACCAATGCAGTGCTCCTTAGTTTAGTGAGAGGGGACGACACCAGCAATGTCATGCAATGGGGGAAAACTTGACTGATGTGGAGAACACTTGCTTTTAGAGAAGTCTGTCACATGTGAGCCCTATTAGGTCCTTAAAGCTCATTTTCTTTTGCGCAAAATGATGATAAGTGTCCTGACATTTTGGTAGGGTTGTTGTAAGCTTCAAATAATATTAGCACACCATCAGCTGGGCACTTCAACATGTATTCACTCAGTCAATCCTTATAAGCCTTAAGGTAAGTCATATTAATATATTTTACAGATAAAAAAGCGAAGGCACAGTTTCTTGCACACAGTTACATTAGATGGAAGGTGGTAGAAGATAGGATTCTAACCTAGGAAGTTTTCTAGGGTTTGTACTCTTAACCATAACACTGTTCTGCCTCTCAACATACTTAGTATTAAACTAGATGCTTTAGTGTGCTCTATAAGAGTAGCTGACTTCTGCCTTTGGAAGGACAAGAAACCACTGAATGTTCTGGAAAGGCATTTCAACCTATAGTTTACATAAAAGAAGAATCAAAAACTGGTAGCTGCATGTGTTCGTATAAAATGTCACACATGCTAAAGCACCCTAGAAAGTCAGAATAGAAGCCAGGGTAAATAAAACAAGAAATGTCATTCTTGTCATATCCTGTTACACAGAGAACCTCTCTTAACAACATGGACAGACCACAGAAGTAAAGCTCTAAGGTGAAAAGGAAACATGAGCTGACAAAGAACAATAGCTGTGGGCCTGTCTGCCCCCAAGAAATGGTTGACTATCCTCTAAATAATGACAAACTGAAAAGCAAGAAATTATACCCTCAGGTAGAATTCCAGAAGGTTAGGATCTTTGGAGCTTGACTGGAGCACAGTCAAAAATGTACTGTCATGCACACTGGATTGTAGGGTCATTCCGTGGCAGTCTCATTAGGAGTCAGGTTTTCAGGGTGGATTTGGAAGAGCCAACTTCCTTCCCCCTTCCCATCTCTGACATTTTCTCACTGATGGAAAGCTGCCACTCCCTTCTTCTGTTCACCTGTTTCAACAGATATGAAACTCTGCAACCCAGAAGTATCCAGGCGCATTCCCATTCAAAATGGCTTTGTTTAATGAATGACAAATTGGAGCGCTGTGCCATTCCCAGGAGGAACGGTGTTTTGATACAATTCAAAATAATACCATCTTCCATGAAGATGAAGCACAAGAAGTTGGACATCAATGTCGTAATTTACTACGCTGTAATCCTTACCATCCGGTTTTCAGGGGAATTTAAAGCACATAGCTAAAGAATGAAACCCACTCTCTGAAGTAAGTTGGAAAGGCCAACCTCAAAAACTTTGAAATAACTAAGGTAAATTTCTGTGCAAAATGTAGAAAGGAATCTCCAAATGCATAATATACATACACGTACTCATACACACAACTTAAGGTCACTCTACAGAAATATAAAAGAACCTCAAGAAAAAATTATAATAATTAGTCTTGAAAAGAAATCATGAAAAATACTGTCCAGAGGCACCTGGGTGGCTCAGTTAAGTGTCCCACTCTTGGTATCAGCGCAGGTCATGATCTTCTGGTTGTGAATTCGAGTCCCACATCTGGCTCCGTGCTGAGTGTGGAGCCTGCTTGGGATTCTCTCTCTTTTCCCCTTTCCCACTCACTCATGTGCACTCTCTCTCTCTCTCAAAATAAATAAACATTAAAAAAAAAAAAAAAAGTCCTGTCCAAGTAGATGGTAGAGGTCATAACCATTTGTGCTAATTTACAGAATAAGATTCTCAGCCCCATTGAGGTCTGCAGTGTGTACTAATTATTGGTACCATACACTGGCTTTATCTGTAAGAGGGAAGGCTATTGTACTGCTTTACAGAATATGTTACAGAAATTTCCAAAAGAGTCAAGGTAATAGTACACCAAAATGGGTAATCTTTAAAAGAATTGGTTAGTTGGTTGGTTGGTTTGCTTTTCTTGACATTTTATGTCTCAAAACCTAAGAACCAGTACTTTCTAAAAATCTTAATAGCCTGCTCTTATAGTTCTGAGTAGAACTTTCCAGTTCCAAGTCATCCATCAGCACATCCTGTCTGCTTTACCTCCAAGTTTGTAAATGTTAAATCATTCGACTTCTTGTCCCTCTTTCCCTACCACCATAGTCCCAGGTGCCATTTTCACCTGATTGAAGACAATGAAAGACCCCACTTGGTTTCCCTTCTACTTTTGTCCTCAAGTAGAAGGACGTACTCTCCACATAGGAGCAGTGCAATATTTTAGAACACAGCTAGCGTTCTGTACTCCCCTAGCTTACAAACCCTTACTGCCTTCCCATCACATTTATAATGAAATCCAAGCTCTCTCAGGAGAAGATCCTGTATGCTCTGGTCCTTATCTCCATGAGAACCTTTTTCCATCTTCCACTAAGCCTTACTGGCCAACCTTCTTCCTGTTGAATGAAGAGGCAAAATTTTGCCTCTTACAGACTTTGCACTTACTTTTCCCTCTTTCTGGCATGCTCTTTTCACAGATCTCCATGTGGCTGGTTTGTTTTGGTCAGTCAGGCCTTAGTTCCTCAGAAATTTCCCTGAGTACCTGATCAAAAGTATATATTCAGTCTATCAACAAATATTTACTGAGTGCCTAGTATGGGCCAGGTACTGGATTAGGCACTAGGGATGTATCTGTGAACTAAGCAAACTAAAATGGTTCTCAAATGTTTGTCAAATGAATGAATGAGTTATGAAAGCATCAACATATCTCAAGTGTATAAAAACGCTTCTTTGCTTTAGCCAGTAAGTATGACTTTTCTAGAGGTATCGTCAAGCATTTATGAAATCCTTAGAATGCCTTAGACAACACTGTGAATTACTTGTTCTGCCCGATAAATACTATTTAAGAAATACTCCTGGGAGGCACACAAAGATACAAATTGAGGTTATACCATCCATTTCCAAGTACTCTCAGAGTAGTCTGAGAGTCTAGTCTACTAAAAGAAATCTGATTTTAATATATCATCATCAGCCTGTTGATAAGCTAATCCCATTATATAAGGCAGGTCTACTCAGGGCCATTTCAGAGAGACCTAAATGAGATATGATCACAAGAGAGTCTTCCAAACTCAGCGCACTTACTTTGTGGACACCATTTGTCTTCTGCCCATCGATTGCAGTTATAATTATCTCTTGCATTTTCACAGGTAAAACACTTGAAGCTGTTAGGAAATGGCGTAGCTTTAAAGAAAAATGCAGAGTGAAACAGGAAGGTTAAAAAAGACAAAAATTTTAAACATCAAAGATGGCACAAATTAGCAACTTTCATTGGATCAAATGAAATTTACAAACCGTTGCTCTTAGAATTTTCGTTGCTAAGGAGCTGGAGTTAACTGCCAGACTTTGGGGCATATTCTTTATTCCCTTTTCTTTAAATACTTTGTCTATGCTTATCTACTATAGAGTTGAAAATGGTTCCACAAGCCACTTTGAAATACCCATGGTATTGTTCCATTATAATTTATACCTTGGGAATAAGTGGGGGTTGAGAGCACAGGCAAGGGTGGTAGAGGGATGGGAACCAATAATTTGGTGTAGTGTGGCCCCTGAAAAGAACTAGGGTCAGATTTACCTGAGCTTAGATTCTGCTCTTCCTACTGAGTAGCTGTGTGATTCTTAACTTCCAAAAAATAATAATGTTTAAAGTAATACTAACAATGAGAATTCCCATGACTTGCAAGGAAATCATGAAGATTAAGCAGGAGGTTGCAATAAAAAAATATCTAGTAGAGTCCCTGGTACATCAAATCATGCTGGTTTCCATCTACATGCACTTCCATTACGGCCATATTCAATCTCAATCAAGCAATCTCACTTGATATACGTCAATTATCACAACATTAGACCTCAATCAGGAATATAACATTTAATATAAGGATGATAGCAATTCTCAGGCTCTTAAGCTCATGCTAGTGTTACAGAAAGCAGGAATTATGACTGCTGGCAGTCCAGATTGAAAGCAACTAGAATGTCCTTTTTTTCTTTATGGTTTTTTCCAACCTTGTATCTTGTTATTTTAATGGGCAAGAAGTTAAAAGTATAATAAATTTGACATTTCTTTGGAAGCCATGGCATAAAGCCTGATGTAAAACTTACAATTCTTCCATTTTTGGAGAATAAAACAGATAAAGATCAAGGAAAATGTCAGACCATCCTAGTAATCTGATCAGGTTAGTCATATATTTCTCTTAAATTTTTTTTTGAATGTTTATTTTTGAAGGAGAAAGAGACAGAATGTGAACAGGGGAGGAACAGAGAGAAAGGAAAACACAGAATCCAAAGTGGGCATCAGGCTCTGAGCTGTCAGCACAGAGCTTGACGCGGGGCTCGAACTCACAAACCAGGAGATCATGACCGGAGCCAAAGTCAGATGCTTAACCAACTGAGCCACCCACGTGCCCTTTTCTCTCTCTCTCTCTCTCTCTCTCCTTAATGGTTTTCTAATCATAAAATTTTATTAGGCTTAAAAAGTTAAAAATTTGTCTATAATTTAAATTTTATGAAAACCATGTTTGTGCCATGTCATTAAGCTATTAGTATACAATCATTACCAATTTAGAAATGTATAATAAATGACAGTTCAAGGTGTGTGTGGTATATGTCTATGATATATATATGTGTACACACACACACACGGCATCCTAAATAATAAAGAAAGCACAAAGTGAGGAACAGTAATGTATAGACTTCATTTAGAAGTAGTATTAAGACAGTGGGTCTGAAACCTGGCTGTGCATGAAGAGTATCAGGAGAGCTTTTTTAAAAAGAAGAGGGTTTGGGGAGGGCAAAAAAAAAGAAAAAACGATCTACCTCCCCCCCTTCTGACTACTGCAGAGGGGACCAAGGAATATGTAGTTTTAAAGGCTTTTATCATGATTCTGCTACTCTTCTAGGTGTGGGAACTACAGGCATTCATATTTATGCCAATTGTTATCTATAATAATCTTTCTCTAATAAAGTATATCAGAAAAGTCTTACTTGCCTGAAGAGAAAGATGATATATGTATACAAGCACAAATATACACATATATGTATATAAAATATTTCATCCTATAGATAATATTCACTGACATTTGCTTATGTTTAAGTTACTAGTGGGAAAGCTGAGCTTTATACAGCCTTTTCTAATAGTGACTATGCATATTAATGAAAACCCAAGTATTATTTCCCACCTACTTTCAAACATACTAATCTGTTTCAAAATTATTAATGGTCATTTGAAAGAATATATCATTTAGGGGCACCTGGGTGACTCAGTTGGTTGAGCATCTGACTCTTGATCTCAGCTCAGGTCTTGATATCAGGGTCATGAGTTTGAATCCCATGTGAGGCTCCACACCCATATTTATTATATATGGAGAAACTTCCTTCCTACAGCCAATATCCTTCTCCATTGAAGGGATCAACAAAGAACACTGTCTGCTAAGCCATTCATAATGATAGTGTTTAAGAGATTATTTTAGTTTTTAATTTTTTAAGCGTTTATTTTTGAGAGAGAAAGAATGGACTCGAGTGGGGGTGGAGCAGAGAGAGAGAGGGAGACACAGAATCTGAAGCAGGCTCCAGGCTCTGAGCTGTCAGCAAAAAGCCCCATGTGGGGCCCGAACCCACAGACCACAAGACTATGACCTGAGCCAAAGTTGGACACTTAACCGACTGAGCCTCCCAGGCACCCCAAAGAGAATATTTTATATAAGAACCCTTTTGAGACTTTAGCAGAAAACTGAACCATTTTAAAGAAATGGGGAAAATTTCTGTCATTATGTATTACCCCTCTTCATCAAAGTAGTGAAGACTTTCTGGTTTATTCTAGGTATAAACCAAATGTTCCAGGGCAGGTAAAGTTATTATAGGTGGAAAGAGGGACTTTGAATGGTCGCCCTGACCCAACCGTCGTGAACCAGGAGACAATCACTACTTACGGTCCAGAGGAGGCCACACGTTGTAGAAGTTGATGTTCTTGGCCAATGCCCAGCTTTCTGACAAGATAAAGATCTGGACAACAGCTACAGCCAGAGCAGGACGAAGGGGCAGCATTCTGACCTTGGCTATGTGAAAGTCCAAAACTCACATCTACGATGAAAAGAGACTGGTTGCATTTATCTGCATTTTGTATGTCAGTAGGAGCATGCTTTGCTTCCTTTTGGAAAGCTGATTATTCAATATATTCAACCATCTACTTGTTCTATAGGGCCCATACCTGTAAGTAAACTGCACGCTTCCCCCACAAAAGAAAGCTAAGTAATTACTGCCTTCTACCTGTCAGGCCTCTGCACTAGCCAGCTGAGCTTGAGCAGGACACCCAAAGGCCTTTCAGGTTCCGGAAGAACAAGGAACAGCATGGGCGTGGCTGCATCCCATTCCCTCACTGCCTGAGGCTACCTGGCGTACTTTGTGCTGAGTCACCCGATCATTTAACAACCAGGGTTCTGAGGCATGTTCACCTGAAGTTACCGAACCACCTATCTGTCAAGTCCATTCCCTGAGTAAACACTTGTGTCTGAGAAATTCTGCAACGCTTTCAAAAACCTGGAAGAAACCTTAAGAGTCAGAGCCCTGGGAAGGGCAGTGCATAAAAGCACAATGAGTTTGAGAAATAGAGTGTCTGCTGGACCCCAGGGCACACAGACATGGAGAAGAGAATCGAGTCACTGTACAGTGCCATCCCCACCTGTGTCTGTCACACCGGGCGCAAAAAGCTACCAGCAGGTTCTAGAGAAAACAGAGTAAGAGTCCTCTGAAACGTGGATATGGCATTAGTCCTGGTCCACAAAAACTGCTACTGATTTCAAGGATGTGAAGTAGCCATGTTTGATACCCAGTGAAATAACAGATGTCCACAGAGCACTGAGTAAGAGAGTACATCTTAAGTCCCACTGGTCCTCCCCTCTAGAAGCAGACCTGGTCGTATGCAAATCCTCAGGACAGATGCTGAGAACATATAGTACCACCACATACAGGCTCTCTGGCAACGGAGAGGTGTGGGAAGCAAAAAAGCATGTAACTTGGAGTCCAAAGACTTCGGTTCAGGTATTGGCTCTGCTATTTATTAGCTGTCTGACCTTGGGCAAGCTCTTTAAGCTCTATTAACCTCAATTTCCTCATCTGCAAAGTGGTTTAATAACACCCATTCTGCCCACACATTTGGGTAATTGTAAGCCTCAAATATAGGCTCAGGTAGAATCGCATAGGATTGTGTAGGTAATAGCACTTGTAATCTAAGTCTGTGAAAATGCTAGAATCTTAGAGTTCAATAATATTGCCTGAACTCATTTTCTTCTTGCTGAATCAGCCGGTCTCTGTGGGCTTAGAGAATCTTTCAAAGAAGAAAAGTTTGATCTCCACACATATGAGCGTAATCCTTCACATGGATATTTTGTTTGAAGCCAGGGTAATAACGCACAGAATCTAGGGATTTTTACCTCCCCCTCTTGTGTTGTGAGTATATTGGTTTTGCGTGTATGGCTATGAATGCCTACCTATGAAGATGGAACAGGATAGCAGACAAAATATAGCCAACAGGATCCCCGGCCCTATAGATGGCTTCTGCCATGGATAGAACAAAGTCTCTAAGAAGTACTGAGTGTAAAGGAAAACCTGGTACATTTAAAAAGCCAATAGTGCTAAACTTTCTACACTGCACTCAGCCCAAGACAGAATGGAACCCACTGGTATGTAAATATACATATAAAATTCTGGCCTCGTTCATTTTAGAAACCAAAATTGACCATTCACAGTTACCAGATTTCTAAATCTTATTTTTATGCTCTTCTGAATGTAAGAAATGGACGTTTCTTCCAGCTAACTATACTGTTCCTAACAGACAAGTCATGACACTGGTTCTCCTATTCTGCTTCTCCTGTTCATTTCTCTGAGTTGGACTGTTCCATATTCATTGTGAATCTGGAGCCAAGGAACGAAGACCCCTGCTTTGCACCAGTGGAGAAACTCTGAGTAGGGGAGACTCATCCCTCTTCTGCAAACCTCAAACTCACTGTGTTCCAATAGCAATCCACGTTCCTGTAATATGGAGATAATGCCTAAGATTACAGATTTCAGAGTCTTATCGTCTATATTCAGTCCCTTTCCATCAACAATAAATATGGGACCTTAGACAAATTGCTTCAACTTTCTAAGCCTCATCTTGCCTGTCTGTAGAATAGGCACAATAACAGTCCCTACCTCAGCGTGTAGAACCACAGACTAAATGACATCGTGTGCATGAAGCACTCAGCCAAGCGCTGGGCACATGGGCACTTTCAGGTAGTGAAGAGCACAGGCTCAACAACCTGCTTCCAAACCTACTCTCTGTGTAGCCTCATGCAAGTTCCTTAACCTCTCTGTACCACAACTTTTGCATCTATAAAATGGAAATAGTGATAATACCTACCTACCTCAGAGGGTTGTAGGAATTAGTTAATACACATAAAGCACTTTAACTATCTAATTAGCCAGTGTTCACCATTTTTTTTTTAAATATTTTTTATTTATTTCTGGGAGAGAGAGAGACAGCGTGAGCAGGGGAGGGTCAGAGGGAGTCACAGACTCCGAAACAGCCTCCAGGCTCTGAGCTGGCAGTCAGCACAGAGCCCGACGCGGGGCTCGAACCCACGAACCGCGAGATCATGACCTAAGTGAAAGTTGGACGCTCAACCGACTAAGCCACCCAGGCGCCCCACAGTGTTCACCATTTTTTAATCCTCACTAGGTAAGCATTCACTGCTAAGAACAAATCTCCTAACAGGAATCACAAATCAGAACCCCTGGTTTTCCTCATGTAATCTCTATGTGAGACAGAAGCCCATTTATTCATTCAAACGTTGTTATTGACATGTAGTGCATAGAAACACATTGAACAAGGTCTTTGCTCTCATGAAGTCTGTATTTTTCTTTTAATTTTTTTAATCTTTATTTAGTTTTGAGAGAGAGAGAGCGTGAGCAGGGGAGGGGCAAAGAGAAGGGAGACACAGAATCCGAAGCAAGCTCTAGGCTCCGAGCTGTCAACACAGAGCCCAACGCAGGGCTCGAACCCGTGGACTGCAAAATCATGACCCGAGCCAAAGTCAGATGCCTAATCGACTGAGCCACCCAGGCACCCCATGAAGTTTGCATTTTAGAAGGAGAAGACAGGCACTAACTATGGGGAAAATGTAATTTCAGATAGTCATGATTCTGAGCTAAGTACAATAGAGAGATAGGTGGGTGAGTAGGTAGACCCATTATGAAAAGAAACCACCCAAGCAAAGAATCCAGGGAAAAGACACCAGGTCCCAAGATAGGAAGAAGTGCACATGCAGGGGGCAGGGGGAAGAGGGAAGGGAACTAAGTCAGAAGTGGTGGGACCATATCATACACTTACAGGCCATGGCAAGGATTTTGATCTAACAACATCAAGGAACTGTTTGGTTGTAGATTATCTGATTTTGAAAAAGTGCTTTGTCTCTGCAGAGCAATAGGTCCCAAATCCCTAGCCTTATTTCTCACTCCCAGAATAAAGCGATGCCAATAATAGAGAACATAAAGGAATTTAGAATTCACAAAGGTTTTTCTGAATAAAAGAGTGATTGGATGGCAGAGGACTTAGAAATAACCAAATGAACAGCAAGCCCAAGGATTAGACTTGTATTTGGGTTTGTCCATTCTTCAAAACAGTACTGTAGGGAAAGTGGCATCGTTACCATTGTACAAGTGAGCTTAAGAGACAATGTGTGTAAAGATCCTAGCACAGTGCCTGGAACACAGTTTCCTCAACAAAATAGCAGTGAAAAGTTGTCCTATGGACTAGTATATTTTCACTTCCATTTTTAACTAAAACAGCATAGCCTTACTGTATCAAAATTTCCCAGAACCGCAAAGGTTTTACCTGTCAAATGAAAAAAAAAAAACACACTAAATAAAAATGTCTGCTATTTTCCAGAGCCAGCTTTAGAATCTATTACCAATACTGCTTTCCCCCTAAGGAGCTATATCTATCTCTATCTATTCTGCAGTGGATAGGTTTGTGTTAACATGACTGTGTTATCTTTCACAACCAAAAGACATTAGGATAATGAAAAAGCAAATGACTAACTATGGTATCTGAAAGTTGTTTTACATTTAGAATCATTTCACGGAGACTCTGAGCTAAAAATTATCTGCTGAGTAGGCTCTCACTGCAGTCTTTGTTGCAGAACAAGATTACAGTAGAGCTCGTATTTTGCTCCAGAAGGAAAAAAAATCTTTAAGATGAGTCAGACTAAACCATTCTGGTATCTTCCAGGACCATCACACAAAGCAGAGTTCTTCATAGTGGTGAGGGGTGACCTGTAAGCTTCTTAGAGTCATTTGCAAAATATTGTGTCTGTATATATTTTCCCCCCTGGGCTGAGGATCTCAAAAGGAATCTGAGACACACATAATAGTGAAGAATTGCTGATTGCTGTTTCAGAATACAGCTGTTATGATTTGGCTTCCGGTGACTTACAAGGTTTTATATTTGACACTAAGAAAGTTCCACATATACATTAGGTATCTTGTATACACTCCTCAACCTCAGGCATAGCTCAAATCATTCCTCCCCAGCAAAGCATAGTATTTTTATCCTTTTTTTCCCCGCGGATGTAGGCCTGGTCAGAAACCCTTCACCTGTGGTGCTGGTCTTCCATTTGTTTCTATGATCCTCTCTTTGGCAAGTATGACATGTTCCAGAGTGCAGTGTGCTTCTTTCACAAAAGAAAGGGGTGCTTTCTGCAAAGGCAGATTCAACAGGGATGGGCAACTCTCAAGATACTCCAGGGAACGGCAGGTAGCTGGATTTGTACATTTACAAAGCCCGCCTGAGACTCTGGCCTATTACTGCCCAGAATAAAGGACCCGTATGGCACTTGGTCCAGGAGCATAGCTACTTCCCAGGTCTGAGTAATAATAATCATCTTTCCTACATACGGCATTTTCTGCTCCCACAGAAAATGTGCAAAGATGACAGGGGCTTCAACAAGCAGCACCCTCTTAACATCATAAACTCTTCTGGGGTAGGGAAATGACCTACATTATTTTTTAAATTATGTTTTAATTACCTAGGTCTAGACTCAGTG